AAGAATATAGCTTGGACGCAATCGGAAGTAGACGTATCCCCCGATAGTTGTTGCAGGAACGACGTTGACCTTTTTTAAAGATAGGGACAACTATCGGCTCATTCGATTACGTTGGTACACTTTCTAGCTCCCAGACTTTTGTAAACAACGTCGTCAGTTACTTAGTCAGAAAGTCCTCGCTGGCCACCTAAACGACTCTCTTCTGTGCCTAGACACCCGACCTGAGCATTCAAGTCTCCGGCCAGTACTACAATATCTGTCGAACGCACTTTCTGGAGAAGAACAGATAACTGGTGGTAAAACTCATCCTTGATTGCATCCGTGCTGCAGTCTGTCGGAGCATAGGTGGAGATGACGAAAAGACATCGTTTCTCACGCCGATTTCTTCTCACTTTGATGGAACTCTCTAATCTAACAGCACATAACCGACTGTTAATGGGGATCCAATCGATTAGTGCTGCCTCAGCTCTAGCGCTTAGTGTTACACCGATGCCAGCAAGAACAGACGAAGATGCCACAGGGTCCCCAGGTAAACGCACGCGAAACAAGCTTTTTGAAGCAACAGATGGAAAGCGTATTTGTGGCACTTCACCAGAGTCTTGAATACGGGTCTCGGATAGACAGCAGACATCGATATTAATACTTTTCAAGGACATTGCCAGCCTTATCTGTTGTCTGACCTGCATAAGTGTGCGAACGTTGAAGGCAGTCAGTTTGAATGGTGCATGTGGTTTCAGAAAAACTGCTTCAGTTCTCGTATTCGGTGGTAACACACAATTTTCAACCGGACAGTGACTAGAGAACGTTCAGATACAGTAGAATTTCCACCAAAGACGAGCTGCTGTATAAGACGAAAAAATAAGTATAGACGGAGTAGGATTAAAGAGGGCGAATATTGACGCAGTAAATAATAATAATAGTAATAATAATAATGCTAGTCACTTGATGGTCATTTGGAGCGAAGGGGATATTTTTCATAAGTAGACAGTTTATCATGCTTTTGTGTGCGGGCTGAGATATTGCCCGGGAGCCCAGACCGAAGGAGGTGGATTTCTAAGGGGGCCGCTCCCGGAGCCATCTACCTGAAGGTCTGATCCACAAGGCAGTGGAGCATCGTAAGGAGATGCAGTCCCATGGAAGCCGATGACCAACAATTGGTTCATACGCCAAACGTTCCCGCAGGATACTGATTCCCATGTGCACCACTGATTTGGGATCCGGTTAAAGTGCCGGACATTCGCTAGTCAACCTCTTATTTTCGTAAACAACACCCAATGTGCGAGAAGGCAGTGAGTAGGACTTCTCTGGCAGAGGCTGTATATGGGTGGTCGTGTGAGAGTATTTCGAGAGGAAGGGCGGACCACCACACTCTCAGCCATACAAGGGCATTTGGAGGCAAATCACTGAGCCCGACTTTGCAAAAGAACACAAACATTAGTCAACTCAATAGTGACTTCGTTTCAAAAAATGTTGCGTGGATTCGAGTTGGATTCTAAGAAGTAGAAAACTTTTCACTTTCACTTAATGAATTCACATCACAAACAGTACTAAGTACGCATGAAACAATTTTGAACGGGCTACTGTTTTTATCAAATAAATTGTAGGATGTGAATGTATATATTGTTAAATCTTGTTTTCAGAAAATTATCCTAATAACCTTAGGCAGAAAACCTGATAAACTTATCAATCCTGTTGTCTTGTTCTTAGGACTGATTAATTCTAATTCATCTGGTTGCGACATAGACAATATTCCAGTTAACTTGACATTACACTCATAATATTACGATGTTTGATGATTAGAGAGACAAATGTTAGAACCAAAATTTTGAATGCAGACACAAAAATGACGTATGTATTTGTTACGTACGCTACCTGATTAACGCATAATATGATATATAACCAATGGTACTCGAATGTATGTAAAGTCCTGCAGTCACAGATCAGAAGATAAAAGAAGCAGGAAAACTGATTGTTTGGTAGGAACTAAAAATGTACAGGAAATCATGGGTAGTTTTAGACATTAGTGTTAGATATATCGTTATTACAATTCTGCAAATCGGTAAGAAAACACATAAGGCTACTTTCCAAGCGTAACGTGCAGCGTTAATATTCATGAAGAAACTCTTCAGTTTCCTTTATAGCCTCTAGAAGCTTCATCGTGCGTCTTAGATGCCGTCCCGAAAGTTATATTCATGAACTTTCAAGCAGGCTTCATTAAACCGGAATTTATCGTGCACCATTAAGATTACCTCATTCGTTTTAATTTATATATTCACTCGAAAACTCTTATACAAATAAGAAAATATTAAATATGCTGAGAATTGCTGAGAACCTTACCTGAAATTTAATTGTTCATCGTAACAATAGATATAAACATTTCTTCCAACCAGCAAATCAAATCTGACAGGTTGACATAATGCTACCACATTAGACTGAACTGAAAGTGGGTGTTAAACATATAAATAAGCTGAATGTTAATTTTTTTTCAATTTCCGAAATAATAACTCTAAGCGGTGAAAATCCAACCATAAAAAACTCACCTTGCATCCGTTTACCTCAGAAGGAACTAAAATATGAACAACGCATTTAATATGCAAGATTTTCCAAATTACTATTTACCAAACTCCATACATTTTTGGTTTTGCGTGATAATACATGTTTTTAGAATGCACGGCCAAAATATTAATTTACTTAGAACTTACTTCTTGTAAACCGCAAGTTTCGGCGGTCCCGGATATGACTTCAGATAGATCGTCTGTTGCTTGTTATCGAATGATTGATGTCAAAATACACATCCTAGCAATCATCATCGACTTAAATCGCGCTAGTGAATAACGGACTTAAAGAAGTGGAATACGAGAATGCAGTTTGGATATATATACTTTGTACTATCGTAGATTGGCACAGACAATCAAGGAAATGGAGCAAATATAGCGTAGAAAAGAGAGAAGTGAAATAAAGAGCGGAGGAGTAGGCGAATGAGCCAACTCCATTTAACCAAGCGTGAATTGTTATTCATATTTAGATAAAAATAAGTTACCGACATGTGGTGAGTAATTGAGAAAATGCACACACATGCGCTCATCTAAAAATTCAAAATAAAACAGCAAATGAGTGACGAGGTCAAAGTGCAGCTTAAAAAGAATGAATAGATTGGTTTGCTGAAAGCCAGAATAAACTATTGCAGGGCTAGTAAATGTCACTAAGTCCTAAGCAAATCATCCGGCAGTTGGACCACTGAATATTGAGCTGATCAATTCCTGTAAAGATCAAGGACGACCAACGCGCATCAGTTAATCGCATGCCGTGGGCTGGCTCATGGGGCTGTGGTCTTGCTTTCGCTTGTACCAATTTTAACGAATATATTTCTGTAATAACATCATTTGTGTTGTCCAGGCTTCAAAGCATCTGTACTCTCTTGATACGTCAATCGAGTAGTCCACGTGAGGTGCCGACCACGAAGTGTGACTTCGACGTCAGCTGGTCATCCACATCATTGCGTCTAACTCGAATAGGCTTCCGATCATTCGATATAGATCATCTACGCTAGTGATCTACACTAAGTGGGTTTAACATAGCACATGACGTTACACTATCTCCCACACAGTTGTCAACTTGATTTGATGTAGTACTTTCAGTGTCTTGAGAATAAGACGTATGGCCAATACAAGAACCTGTAAACCATGTAAATTCGGATGCTCTCTCAAAGCACATAGACGGTTAGACCGGTCACTCATATTTCGAAGAAAATGACGAAATCAAAACTAGTGACAGTAAATCATAGTTGAGTGTTAGAATGATGTTAAAAATCACAAACAAATACGGGTCACAAATAAGAGTGAATGACCATATCCCCATTTTCTTTTAAAGCCGCGGTGATGTCGGCTAACTACACAATTAAATATTTTGTGCTGTGTTCAAACCAATCATAATAATATAATACAACTTCATATCGCTTATTGTATGTCACCAACGTAGATGACTTGTGTCGGGTGATGGGGGCCCATTCGAGTTTGAAGGAAAGCTAACTTCTAAGTCACACCTCGCGGCCAGCATCTCACGTGGATTACCGTTTCGTCGTATCAAGGTGTTATGGATCATATAACACAAAGCACGTTATGACAGATATATATTATTGAAAGTAGATAGAATGAAGAGATTGAGATTACCACTGCAAGAGCCAGTTCATGGCGTGCGATTTATTGATACGCGTTGATTGTCCTTGAACTTGGCGAGGATCAGTGACTGTTGAATATTCAATAACTTGACTCCCGGATGATTTATCTAGGGCCCAGTGACATTTCACTGGCCCTACAGTACTCCGATTTTGTGCTCTTGACTGTTTCTTATCAAAGTTCTAGACTCATTTTAGACATTAGTATTTCGTTAGCTTACTTTGTATTCACAACTGGCGCCACAGTACAAACGGACACAAAGAAATACTTCGTAAACGCGTCACTGTTGAAACTGGGATATTTTAAGGAGTGTTCTGATGCTTATGATAGTTACGTATTCTCAAGGAAGATAGCATCTCAAGTACTTATATTTGCGTTATTGGTAAATAAGCCTATACTTCATGAAAGAAAGTTGTATATCCTGACAAACTTTTTCACCCTTCGTTCAACGTACTTAGGAAGCTACTAATAGATCATTTTCAGTTAACCTTATTCTTAGCACGTAAGAGAGCACAGTTCGACAAAATGTTTCATGCTTTGAATCAATTGGTTTCAGTTTGTAAACAGTTTTTGTCTTCATTCAAATTTTTTCTTACAATTAATTTGTACAATTACCATTATTGCCTATAAAATCGTTGCTTAAGTAAAATTTTGCCGTTGCCCTCCCGTTCCAGTTTTGAGCTCTCATTGCATGACACATCGATCACCGCTCACGAGATCACTGCAAAACACATATGTGTAATTATGAAATGAATAAATTGAAAGGCAAGTCTTTTCGTTTATCCACTTGAGTGTTAAGTTTCTCAAGGTCAAAAGCACGAAACTAAAGTATGTGGGGTGTTTGAAGAGCAACGTTGCTGGCATATTTGTTATTGAGAATGTTCGTATAGTTTCCTTTTGAGACGCTGAAGTTATTGATGTAGTTGGTGGTCCATTAACTCTTTATTTTTATGTTACTACTATAGTACCAAGATGTCATTAGCTGCGTTATGTTTGCTAGAAATATTTATAGTATTACGCAACGCTTAATGTACTTATATATTATTCCTTTATTAGTGTCATATTTATTTTTAACATTCCTAATGTTCTTTCAGATAATTACGCTCACCGCGTGACTTTATTTATTCATAGTTCACTTCTCACAGTGACTTCCTAGATGGTATTCGTGAGGAAGTCATCTCTTCAAATATACTTGGGATCTCTTATAGGACGGCAGTATATGACTGTTGATAGCGAGAGTTTTGAGTAAATTATATGTCATAGAACATAGAGCCAACCGTAGCTTTGTTTGGAAGCTGTCTCGGTCTGTGCAGAATGATACTTGTACTTAATTTATTATTATTTATTATTTTAACACATAGATATTGGTACAAGGAGGCACCAAATACATATTGCGCCACAAAAATCTCATCCGATATGTGTGAGGGCTGTGATACTGCCCGGGTGCCCAAACCGAAGTAGGTAGTTATCTTAGGCCATGTGGAAGCATTTCGAGAGGGAGAGCGGACTCTCCGCACTCTCGACTGTACCAGGGCATTTGGAGGCATTTCTTAATTTACTTCGAAGTAACTGGCCGTGAAGTATGAGCGTGGTTAGTAAAACGAATATAAGTCGGTAAAGGGCATATCCGCTATCGGTTAGATAAAAGCCTGTAATTATTCGATACAGTATTTACAACACTCAGTCGCAACGTATAGTTTGGCACAAATACACATCAGCCCATTTTTACAAGTACGACGAACTCTCAAAAGTCGATATAATACATTACCGACCAGTTGTTTTTGTTCACATATTGTTTAGTTTAAAAGAGATTAGTAGGTGTTTGTGTTTCAGGGTTATCACTGATGCCTGAGCTGACGGTTCCCACCTCTTTACATTACTCGTAATCATAACATAACTTCTCACTTTGTATAAGTTTCTGTCTTTTTTTTAATCATAGTCTGTTAGGCTGAGGTTGAAGTGTTCAGACAACATAGTGGCTAGAGTAACCTAATTGTAAGTTGTGATACACATAAATAAGGTAGACTGGGAAGCTGTGAGTATAAAATACAAAACTAGTCGACTAGCAATTCCACCATATCCTTTTACATTGAGTTTCTATGTTTCTACATTTTACAGATTATTTAAGGCTCCTAAATCTTGTACAAAAACTTATAAACGTAGTTGAAATTGTGGCAAGAACATTGTTGCGTGCTGTCATAGGTCAGCAGTTAAATTTCACCATGTTAAATCGTTAGTTTGTGGGCTTGAATTTTACTCTACCTTAATAACTGCGTAGTACTACCAAATCAAAATGTTTAAATCAAAATACCAGACTGGCCTTGGTTTCTGAGTTTCAGTAGATAAAATTAATGGCTACATTTCAATGAATTTTCCATCAATAACTATATCCATATAATTATTTTTTTAATCACAATCCAAATGAGTCAGCTTTTGTACTCTTAATTGCGTTTTCCTGTCACATAGTGTACCCTAACAACGTAGTCAAGATTTCTTCGATTCTCCATGCATAAAACGTCATAGTTAACAACTTTAACAGATGATTCTTTCTAGTTGCTTTATTTTTTACGCGATACTTGTAACCCACTCAAGTCATTACAATAAGTAAAATACCCCAAAAATACTTGGCCATCATTCCCATACACATGTCCAGATTTTTGTGATGATTTATTTATTTGTTTAATTGCATGCATTTTGCAGCTTTGTTGCCATTTTATTACTTTTTGCTCTATGTTTTGATTGAATTCTGAAGCCATCAAATATTTCTGTAATCAAATGTAAGTTGGCTTACTGTTATGGCTTCTTATGCGACAGAAATGCACGCTTCTTCTGGTTGTGAAGTCTCACACAATAAACAGTCTCAAAATTCATCTGATTCTTATGGGAACAAAAAAACCTGTGAGTTCTTTTCACAATGTAGCAACGGTAGCTTCATAACTTTTTAAAAGTTTATTGGTGGGTGATTAGTTTAGTAATGACACTGTATTCGTCGAACTAGTGGCTTTGGTATGAACAAGACCATGTTAACTGCCGGCGAGTTTATTTAATAGTTGATACTACAATGACAAACTAATTCGAAACCTGCGTAATCGACGTTTTATTTTACAGAGTCCTACTCAGAAGTAAATACAATCCTATTGGCCTTATGATTTTTTATAGGGGATCTTATTGTTATCTTTAACAATTCTAATTGATAGCTTTTACCAAACACACAGGTACATCAAGGTAGTGGTGGTCGAAATCCCTTTGGTTTGATATTTGTTTTGGTTCGACAAATTTACTTCGAATGTTTGTAAGTTATATAATCGTCTTGTGAAGTTCTATAACATGATCCTCCAAAATAGAAAAAAGTAATAATGTTCACAATTACGAACTAACTCTTGTCTTTCCACGGTGAAATATCAGTTCCTATTGGGCTGGTAGAATCATGTATATTAAGTCAGTTATAAAAAAAGATGGATAGTAGGTAGCCGGAAAATCCAGGATATATGTTTCGCCCCATTAGAGACTGGTCATCTGGATGTGCTTGCATCCCAGAGTTGATATTCGCTTCCGGACTCAAACAAAGCACCGTCCACCTGAAACGCCATCGCGCTATCCACTTAGCTACTTACTTACATAATAGGATGAGTGACCGATTGCCGTCTTAATTATCAGTGGAAAGATTCAAAAACAACCAATATAAATGAATATTAAGTCGATGTTCATAAATGTTCTTTCCTGTATATTTGTTAATGCTGTTTCAATCTTTGTTATTTTCTAGCATCTACACATACCACCAATAATTATAAAAGTTCATTCGAAAGAACTAATCATCCACCAATATCTCAGTCAGTTCCATCTTGTTCAGACATGAATCCTGTAACAAGCCAGCTTCAACCGCAACATTCACAGTACCGTTATTCAGATCCGTATAGTTTCCTACGTCAGCCAGAGTCTAATCCACGGACGCTTCCTAATTCTGATACTATGAATTGTGTCCCCTCAATTTATACAAGCCCAGAATATAATTTAAACAGTCCAGACTTATGCACACAGACCAGTCATTTACAGTCTTATTTACATCGTGTATCTTGTTGCTTGCCTCAATGTCCACAATGTCTTTCTTACAATCTTTTCGCTCAATCTTATAATTTTCCAAACAATGGAACAGCTCTACAACCACCTTTAGTATTGTCTCCAACTATGTTGAATAACTACTCAACTTCAGCACTGTGTTGTCCATCAGCTTCTCAAATACCATATTATTTTTGGTATAACCAGGATCCTGAATACCAGAAACAATATTATCAAACTCAATTAGCTATGTCTAAGTTGAATCTGGACCATTCGTCTCCAAATACATGTATGATGGTACAATCGGGACCAGATCCTATGCATGGGTCTTTGCCAAATCAAGCACATCAAGCTGAGGCAAATTATTCTACAAACCCAAATACTTTTGCTTCAGTAAGTGTATTGAATAACATCATATTCGCAAAAGTATATTTCAGTGTGTTCGGGTTTAACAGGTTGACTCATCTGAATTTGAAACTGATCCTTTTTTAGTGTTAGGTACATTAGTTGTTTAATAATTAAAAATAACAACTCTCCGATACATTCAAAAAGAGATGGTATGATCACGTTCGTTATAGTATTTTAAAATAAAGTGGAAATTCAGATTCAAATTCTTGGTTTCAATTTGAAGTCTTATGTGTTGCGTTTGTGGTTTTACCTCAATTCAACTTGATTGATTAATAATATGATGGGCATAAAGAAACACTGGTTACTTTGTTGCCTTTATTCATAGCCTTGATTAAACACGTTTTTAGCTACTAAACAACTCAATAATACTACCCTAATTGAATATTCTCCATCAAAATAGCGACTTCACGTCAGAACTAGAACAGAAACGTTTCATTGATATAGTGGTGAAATATCTAGTGTGTTCATCAATCCACATCCGAACACGAAATCATACATACTTTCATATATCGTAAGTAGAAGATGGGGCTAGAGAGAAAATAACGATGAATAAGTCAGCTCACATTATGGTCGGTGTTTAGCTCGTGATATTAGTCAGCATACTCATGAAGTGGGAACATTTGTAATGAATCGGTACTGAAGTCTCAGGTTCGAATATTGTCTTTAGTAATACCAAAAATAGGATGTTTGTGTGAAACAGAAGTGTTGTGAATGTATTCCGATAGCATCCTTCAATAACAAATTTTCTACCATCCCGATCTTCCCACTAGCACTGATTGGTTGAAAGTAGACCAATCAGTGTTATTCTGGCTTTAATATGTATTAGGTAAATCTCTTACTAAGACGACTAGAATTCATATCACTTTCTAGGATGTAATAGAGTAAATATATGCTATTCTTTCAAGATTTGGCTAAACCAAAATACTACACGTCGATAATTCTACACTAGAATCACACTTAGCTGTAAGCAACGCATATAAATTACCATGATTCATAGGTGAGCCGACACAATTTCGAAAGACTAAACTACTAGACAGCAGACCGCATATATTGTGAAATTTGAGATTTAATGTATGTACCATGATATCTAACCAAGGTAGCATTACTGAGTTGTCTACCACATAACTTATAACTAATCAAAGATAGAAATAAATTTCGAAATTCCAGCCAAGACCCGTTTACTTTTGACCATCGTTATTAAACTACCGATGCCCAACAATCTGAGCAGATTCAGGCACTCATTTTTAGGCTACACGTTTTATTTGGGCGTTAGCGACAGTGTTTCAGGTTCCTTTAATTGAATCAGATGGCGAATAGCTAGAATCTGAGACTGGATGACTGAAAGTTTAGTACTTAATTCATCAAATTATAACTACTTCATATCGAGATTGAAATGATCGTTGGATTTGTTTCTTAAAACAATAGAGTTGGATAAATGCTTATTTGTACGACTTACGATCTTTATCTAATTAAATATGTTTTATTATATAACACAAGCAGAATGGTCAATTGGATATGGTTATAATCAGCTTAAAGCAATGGTTTAATGGTTTTGGGCTTTAAAACTTCTGTCAATTGAACTAGATTTAAACACTTAATCTACCCCCTGTTTTACTCTAGTCGTTTACGTAGCCAGTCATTCTTGCCTAGAACCTACCACATATGTGCATCGGTTCAAGTTGTCACACCACATTAATACAGCTTGATGAAACTATCAAAACAAACTCCAGAGTAGTAGAAATAGTGACAATATTAGAAGTAATATCAGTAGACAATATTTGAGGTGGATGTTGGTTCAATGAACATTTCTTAACCATCTTATTCAATGGACATTCACTGTATTTTCAATCAATTTTCCATTTTCACCTTAGTATTCTATCTTTAACCTCAGCGTCGCTCCAGTGATCTCAACATACTCGAGCTATTCTTCGAAATCACTTATAAACAGATACGAATATCTTCTACGAGTTGTCTATTAATTTACTATCTCCCTAAAAATGGACAAAAATCACGTCATGATGTACAATTCTGTACAATGTTATCAAATAATGATTTAAATTAAACTTTAAATAATCCGGTCGAAATAAGTGTAAGTATATTAACACAATATTCATTGAATTGACTTTGCAATGACTGTCCATTTACGTTTATCCAATTTTTAATAGTTTGAAATATTTTTAACGATTTAATTTAATTTCGAAGGTATCCTTATCGGAAAATCCTAATACAATTGTTCATCCGCCTAGTATAATTATGCCTATGCCTCGGTCTGTCGCTATTGCTACTTCTCCTACTACTACCATGAATAATAGTAATGTATCGTCTAAAACAAATGATCCATCTCTAATCAACCAGTTCGATTATTCCAATGCTTCATCCTATGCAAGTAGTAACAGTACACCGTTAAATAATCAATTGAATGGGTATACAACACTTCCTATGGATGGTGTCTACGATCCAACTAACAGTGCGTGGTATCCTGGATATTGGAATTCGAATAATCTATGGGTGTCAACGGCAACTGGTCAAGGTGGTTATTTAACAACACCATTCAATAATAACAGATTATCTTTACCAATTTCTTCATTTTCACCCAACCCACAGTCGTTCAACACAGATGAATATGCAGTTCTACATCAACAATATGTAAATACGATAAATAATGATTTCACTGGTGTTATCAATACTGGTAATAATCACCATCGCCATCATCATTCAACAGATTTAATAACAAATTATAATCAGTCAAGAGATAGGACGGTTGTTGTTAGTCAACAGTCACAACAAACACTTTTAGCTAATAGTAATAATAACAACACTACTTCATCTATGCCATCGCTATCATCATCTTCATCGATAATGCTCAATGCAACATCTTTATCATCAACACCAGTCAGTAAATTATTATCATCATCATCGTCATCATCATCAAACCAAAAGGAATATCACACATTATCGTATTACACTAATCCGAAATCAAATGATTCGTTAACAAATTTACAAAATATTCAATATTGTTCTTATCCTCTACCGTTTTATAACACGAATAACGTTGTCAATATGATAAATAGTAGTTATAATAACAATCATACTACTGCATCTGTTATCACTCATAATAATACTAATAGTAATATTAACAGTAGTAATAATAATAGCAGTAATAATAGTAATAATATGCGTTTAATTTTAACAATATTAGCCAATTCACGAGCAAATACTACCGCTATCGCTACTCCAAACATTGTCCATAGTCCTTATCGTTATAGTCCAGATCGAAATAGTTTATTATGTAATCGTCAAAAGCTATTATCTGTCAATCCCATTTCGTGTAATACAAACACTACTCGATCTATGTGTAAAGCGTTTTCACAATCCGAGTTGGCACGTTTAAACTTGAAGTAAGTAGTTATGTTTGATTTAATATATATACATTACTTCCTTACTTACACCTCTCATGTAGCAGCATGGGCTGCCCACTAGGATTCTTCATCTGACTCTGTTCTGGACAATCATTTCGAGTTACTATTCATTCTTTTGATGTCTGCTCCCAATTTCCGACGCATTGTTTTCCTTGATCTTCCTACCTTAATTTTCCCTTCAGGATTCCATATTAAGGCTTTTCTCGTGATGCAGTCTGATGATTTCCACAGTGTATGCCCTATCTACCACTCCCATCGTTTTTCCTTAATTTCCTCTTCAGATGGAAGTTGGTTTGTTTTCTCCCACAGTAGGCTGTTGCTGATTGGTATCCAGCCAACGGACATTCAGTATCTTGTGTAGACAGTTGTTTATAAATAATTTTACCTTTCTCATGATGTTGAGGTAGTTCTCGAAGTTTCGGCTCCATACAGTAGAACTGTCTTGACGTTCGTATTGAAGATTCAGACTTTTATATTGGTTGACGGTTGTTCTGAGTTCCTTATGTTCTTTAATTATATATATAATACAAGATCCTATAGGTGAACGTGAATTTGTAGCACATTCGCCTTTGAATGCCCAGTATGTGTCATTTTTCCGTTCGTTTGGTAACTAAATGTTGGATACAAGGGAATAATTTCCAGTCAGGATTTCACTTCTTCAGTATAAACATTGATTATCTTTCACCGAGTGTACTGTTCGTTCAGATTTCTCCAATCAATAACTACATAATTTAGGTAATGTTAGGAAAATAAGCTAAAGCTTTATCAGTGAGCGTATGACCTGCCATGATATATATTTATATATGTCGGTCCTAGTGATCGTATTTCATATCATCACAGCGAAAGAGAACGCCCACACTATGAGATGCAGCTACAATCCAAATCTTAATATAAGAAATACTATGATAAAAATATCTTAGAAGAAAAAAGAGTTAGTAATTACACTTGACTTAATATTTAGTCAAGAACAAGGGCTGCCAAACAGCCTATGCAATGATCGTGAGCAGTGGTGCGTAGCGAGAGCACGAGAAATAGAAAAGGTATCGGCTATAGGTAACAATAGACAACTGTTTAGAAAATCAAGAAAGATTTATTAAAAATCTGGGGTTTTTTCGGAAAAATACAGAACTATTATTAACTCTCAATGTAGGACATTGGACTGATGAGCATAACATTAAGTAATAGTGAATCTTCATTAACTGAGTTGGTTGGAAAAATGTATTACATATGCCCATCCACCGTTTACCTCGACGGATGGTGTTGGCTGGTGTATGACTAGGTTGAAGGAAATCTAAGAATGGACAAACTGAGATGTTCCACCAATCTATGAAGTTATTGGCATGTAGACTGAACAATGTGGGCAGACACAGACTACCTAGTCCAGTCTCGCAAATCTTTCGTAACCAACAGTGTAAAATTATATAGTTCATTCATCTAAATAACTTGAATATATTAATACCACTGCTAGAAATCATTTCGTTGATACTGCCATGAAATAGTTTTATCGGTGAAATTTCAACCGTTTGACTGAAATTTTGAAACACATTCCTCTTATTTCAATAGATCAAAGCCACAAATACATATATTTGTATTAGGCCACTGTGTTGCATTTAATCTATTCGCTTAGTTTGACCAATATATAGTAGATTTTTGATTATATCATGTCCCATTTTCTGTTAGAGAACAAGGTAGACTTCTTATAACATAAATTAATCGTCAACTGTAGACTAATCTGTGATTTTTGCTTGTTTTGTAATATCAGGATGGCTTGTTTTTGAAATATAATGGACAAGTTATAAATTGACTGACTTACAAAGTAAATTTTCTCCAATCGTTAATGACTTATAATGATGTTAATCTTGATGTTTAATATTTTGTAATATAAACGTGTTGTTTAGTTGGAGGTAAACATGAGTTCGACTGAACAGCTACCTTGGCTTGTGGCATACTAGTTTAGTCAGGTGCTTATGTCAATAATTCGTTTTCGCGAACATCCGTCACTTGGCCACTTTGTATTGGTACATATTATCTATCGATTGGCATTGGGTTTTTTTATTTCAACAATTATGATCCTCAATCACTAATGAAATCCAATTTCATAACTGTTTTCACTTATGATGTTTTCTTGTTTACTGTACATATGTAACATGTCCAACATTTAATTCGTGTGCTGTTGAATAGTACACTAAAGTGTATAGAAATCAGTCGTTAACTTAAATATCATCTCAAAATTTATTCTTTATTTATCTATTATTTTAACACATAGATATTGGTACAAGGAGGCACCAAATACATATACGCCACACAAATCTCATTCGATATGTGTGAGGACTGTGATACTGCCCGGTTGCCCAAACCGAAGCAGGTGGATTTCTAAGGGGGCCACACCCGAGGCCTTCGACCTGAAGGTCTGATCCACAAGGCAGTGGAGCATCGTCAAGTGATGCAGTCCCATGGTAGCCGGTGACCAACAATTGGTTCGTACGCCATTTGTTCCTTTAGGATACTGGAGTTCATGTACACCATTGGGTTGGAATTGGGGTTTTCCAACTCCCTTAGGTGAACTCTCCATGTCCACCAACCCGGTTAAAGCGCCGGACGTTCTCTTTTCGTCCTCTCGATTTCGTAAACAACACCCATGGTGCGAGAAGGCGATGAGTAGGACTTCCCTAGCAGAGGCTATATACGCGTAGTCATGTGGAAGCATTTCGAAAGGTATAGTGGACTCTCTCCAATCGCGACCGTACCAGGGCATTTGGGGGCCTTACAGACTACACAACACTCTTTAACCAAATGTTTTTTCGTGAATCTTGAAGTTTCCAGCGCCATCTGAAAATAAACAATACCCATGTATAATCGTTTGGTATTTGGTATTGTGTAAACAAATTGACTGATAGTGATAATAATAAACAGAAAAATCAATGTTTCATTCATCCTGTTTCTTTTATAAGGCAAAATCATATTATCAGTGTGTTTGTTTAGATCTCGACATTGTTATACATACATTCTCGCTTTATTCTTGTTCGAAATTTGTTTTTTCTTCCCCTTATCGACCAGTTGAGGTTGGAAACATGCTGTTAGATGGACAAATCACGTAGATATATGTAAAATAATTCTACTCATTTATTAATCGTAATTATCTGACTGAAAAACTTGGATAATAAATAATCGCTTCAAATTTTCTCACGCTTTAACAGAAGTAGTTTAATGTTACTAAAGAAAAATGTGCAATAAATATGTTCATAGTACAGTCCGTGTGCGTTGTCATTATGTTGACTGTACTTGCATGTGACGTCAGTAAGTTGTTTCTTTCAGACAATAATCATCTATAGGGATGCTGTCTTCCAATAACATAAGGAGCAGGCTTAGAAAGGTTAGCTCTAGAAATAGTACATGTCTAGTTCCACAGATTTGGTAAAAATAAAAAGTGTTCATGTGATCCGATCAAATTAACTCTAACCTGAGCATTTTCATTTGGATTGGACCACATACTTATTGATTACTACTGATTAATATGGAGTTTTCGATTTTGGAATGTTACAACCACAATAAAATCATTATATATAATATATATATATATATATATATAAGTATTCGTTATAATTTAGTTCTTTGGATTGTTAGTTATAGTCTTGGAGAATTGTAGTTGCTTGTTTCAAAGTTTGCAATTATGCAACCAGACTTTATTGATGTGTGTATGATTTCTTGTGCAAGTCAAATGATTATATATATATATATATAATCGATTTTCCATACTGCATCATACCTTTCCGCTGGTTCACAATAATAAGTATTTGTGTGTGTGTGGCGATGATTTGTTGTTGTGAGTGTGTGTTTAAACACTTGCTTTTGTATGCATATTTATACATTTTGTAGACCTTGGTTTATATATATATATATATATATATATATATATATATATATATCGATTATCCCCCGTCAAAACTTTTAGCAAGGGTATAGAGTTAGTTACCACAGCAACGACCTATGCACATTCACATGAAATGAGTCTAATTTTATTTTAATGTGTTTATTAGTCGGAACTAGTTTGATTATTTCAATATGTAAAAATCGCACATTATTTTAGATAGATTCCACTGATAATAGTAATATGGTTGGCATTATGCCTTACAAACTCATTTTGACTAAACAATCATTACACTAAACAAATATTTCATCCTAGCATGAGACTCACAAGCATTATGAACAGAGACTGAGGTGAAGATTTTGAAAGTATCTGCTGATCGTTTTGCCTTTAGACTACTTAGTTAGCATTCAGTGGTTTACTTGTCTAACTCCAGTTACAGTTTACTATATTGTCGATGGTGATAACTGCTTCACTCCTGACAGGCTTTGACCCTGTTGGCTACTTCCTAATGGAATGTATGTAAACATTAGTAAACAGCATGTTTGTCTACTTGAGGCTGAATTGTGATTTAAGACGATGCGGTTCAATGTGTGTTCACCAATAATATCATTTCATTTTCAAGCAGTTTTCTGGGATTTTCCAATTTACATAATCTTTATTGTCTATAGGATTTGGCCCGTAAATGTGGAGAATTATTATTTACAAAAAATTCGTAATTTTCTTTTCAACCGATCATAAATTACTATAAGCAGATGGTTTATCCTGATCGGTGTTACAGAAAAATACATTCTTTAACAAAGTTATTTTGATCCGTTAATAAGAATAAGAATCAAAATCCGAAAGAGAAAAAATCACTGGTTGTTTCGAAGTTATTATAAAGTATTTTCTGAACCGATGCGTAACTGTATTTTAAAGGAAAAGCCTGCAAACATTTTTTTTCTGGAACATTTGCACATTTTGTAAGTATGATCAAGTTTACTTCAAATGTGAATTTGATTTATCAGTCAAGAAAGTTATGTATTCACCAGAATTCCAACCCTAAACTGTTGAAATATTGCTATTACATTAATTTGTTCGTTCAAACAATATTGATAGATGTGAAATTTCAAAT